CTTTTTAGCTTCTTACGCTCTCTAATAATATTACTACTACTAGTTCTACTACTTTCTTCTTAGTTTAAAATACTAATACTAGCTCTATTAGCTTCTTTTACTAGTCTATCTAAGCTACGTTATAGTAGATAAAATATAAAGTAGACTAGATATACTAGTAATATTACTAGTACTTAGATTTTAGGTAAGCTTCTTATTTTATCTAAAATCTACTTACTACCTACACTATAGTAGTACACTACTAATATCTCTACTTAATTATTTATTTTACTTTTTACTTTCTTTTTTATATTTTTTCTTTATCTTTTCTTTATACTATAAGTAAGTAATATATTCTAAATAGTATAATAAAACTATACTACTAGAAAGAGAAGGTTTATACTAGTATATAAGGTATCTTTATATAAATTAGATCTTTAACAATCTAAGAATTACCTAAAGAGAGAATATCTTTTAATAAGAGCTTTTTAGAATTATCTAATTATCTACTATTTTATTTTTTACTTATACTTTTTAGTATTAAACTCTTATATAATACTTTAGATAATAAAATCTCTTTATAATAGAACTCTTTTCTACTAAACTAATATTTATATACTTTCTTACCTATGCTAACTACCTTACGTTCTTATAGTAATATATCTTTATACTCTCTAATACCTATATAGTACTTACTACTACTTAGCTTTATAATATAAGCCTTTTATATACTTATACTTTACGCTCTTTTAATAAAAAGTTAGAGTAGTAGTTTATAAAATACTTTAAATAGTATTAGCTTAAGCTTATAAAAAGAGCTTCTACTAATCTAAAATTTAATTAGAGTAGTATATACGTCTATAAGTATTACACTTATCTCTTAAATAAGAATAGAGTAGCTAGATATAAGCTAAAAAGCTTTAAAATACTATTTAGAGAATATATTAGTTATTTAGTAAGCTATTAAGCTTCTAATATATACTATATATAAATTCTATTACTAAGAGAAGTATTTACTACGCGTAATATAACGTTTAATAAGTAGCTCTTCTATAGTAGTAAAGAGTAGAAGCTTTCTAAGAAGAATACTTATATTATAGTTAATATTCTTTATAAAAATAAGTAGAAGAACGTAGTAGAGGCTTATAATAAGCTTCTATTACTCTCTTAGTAAAGTAATATAAATAATAGTATACTACTACTTAACTAAATAAATAAGCTACTTAATAGTCTATTAGAAGCTTATTTAAAAAAGTTAAGTTTTATATAAGTAGATCTTTAGACTAGAGAGACGTAAAGAGTATATATAAAGCTTACTAAACGTACTATAGAACTACTATTACTAAAAGCTATACTAGAGCTTTTTAATATAATAAGTATTACTAAGTAGCTTAGTAATAAACGTGTTAATTTTAGTAAGTACTAGTTTATAGTAACTAGATTAGTAAGCTTATTAGGTGCGTAGAGAAATAACTTCTAAGATAATAGACTTCTATTACCTATAGTAATAAATATCTCTTAGAATAGAGAAGTACTTAATAGCTCTTTAGCTAATTTATAAAAACTACTTAGTAAGTATAAATATATAAAGAAGATCTATAAACCTTTTATATATAGAAGTAAGCGTTACTTAAATAGTTATAATAATTATAATAATCTTAGAAGTATAGATATCTATACTTTACTATTTAACTCTAAGTAGCTTAATAACTTAGAGACCTACTATAGCGCTTCTAATTAGTTATTAGACTACGCGTATATAATACTATATTATATTATTACTACTATAATTATAGATAAGCTTAATAAAGGCTAAGTTTATTAGAATAATCTTCTAGCGCTCTCTACGCTCTAAAAGTACTTCTATAACTATTTTTATAAAGATAAGTTTAAAATAGTAGTATATTAGAAGATTAATATACTACTTATAGCTAATATTTAAAAGAAAGTAGAGTATATAAGTAGTAAAAAACGCTCTCTACTACTTAAGTAGGTCTTTATATATAAAGTAGATAAGAATAGATTTTTTATAAAGTATAAGGCTTACTTTATAGTATATAGAGATATATAGACTAAAAATATATTCTACTTAACTTATACTATAATACTTACTATATAATTCTTCTACCTAGTAATAGCTATTACTACTAAGTTTAATATAGAGATCTAGTAGCTTAATATTATAGTAGCCTTCTTAAATACTAAAATTAGTAGTAATAAGCTTATATACTATAAGCTTCTAGATAGCTTTTAGAGAAAGAGCTACTACGCTAAGCTTAAGAAAGCTTTTTATAGTATATATAAAAGCTTTTTTCTCTAGTATACTAACTTCTTAAATACTTTCTTAAAGCTTAGTCTATAAGCTAGTAAAAAGAAGCTTTATTTATACTATAACGCTACTTAATACGTCTTTATACTTTTCTATATAAATAATATTCTACTTATATTTACTAAGTTATATAATATAAAGGTAACTAAGCTACTCTATAGAATTAAGAAGACTTATAAGATTAATAATAAAAAAGTAGTAAACTAGTTCTTAGAGGTATATATTATACGTAACTACTCTATAAGTACTATTTTACTACTTTATAATATCTACTTTAATAAAGTAGCTAAAAAGTTTAGTTTTAAGAATAGTAGATACTTTTTAGAGATATCTTTACTAGCTAGTAAGCTTCTAAAGTACTAAGAGAATACTTCTAAGTAAAATATTAAAGCCTATTAAGAGTATATAGACTTAGTATTATACTCTACTATTATAATACGCTCTAATATTATATACGTAGTTTTCTAGCTCTCTTAGTTTTTAACTAATTCTTTTTTAGCTTATCTTAAAGTAGTAGAGTATTTTATTATATACTTATACTACTTATAATATAAGAGTATTATATATAGTAGAGAGGTAAAGTTAGATAAGAAGCTTTAGATTTATAAAAATATAAGCTTTATAGATAATACTAAGATATACTACTTCTCTTATAGATTTATTATAATACTTTTTAAAGATTTAATTATATAGTAGACTACTTACTAGTTAACTATTATAACTTTAACTACTAAAGTAAAGCTTTTTACTTTTAAAGCTATTACTAAAGAGACTATAGCTTTAAAGCGCTTATTTACTAAGCTTTAGCTACTTATTACTAGCGCTTAGTAGATTTTTTATAATAATTAATAGACTATTAAGCTTATAGTAGAAAGTAATAAAAGAATCTCTACTAAGCTCTACTATATTAATATCTAGAATATATAGCTTTACTAGAAGTATAGTAAGAGCTCTTTTAAAGTACTATATAAGCCTACTATTAATATATTAGTAGATAGACTTACTAAGTACTTACTTAAGTAAAAGTTTAAGGCCTTTAAAAAGTAGCTAAATCTAAAATAAATAGCTTATAAGAATACTAATTAAAGCTTATAGATAAGTAATAAGTATAAGAAAGATTAGTAAGTCTAATTATATATTTATAAAGTAGTACTAGGCTCTACTTTAGGCGCTTTATAACTAGATAAAGAGATCTTATCTTCTTTCTAGACGCTTACTATCTCTTTATATAGTTAGTATAAAAAAGCTTTTATTAAGCTACTATATACTCTAACTACTTAGCCTTACTAGCTAAAACTAAAGATATAAATAGTAGAAATACTTACCTAAAGCTCTTAACTTTACTAAAGGCTATTAAAGCTATATTATCTACTTTAGTCTTAGCTTCTATATAACTATAAGCTACTCTATACTACTTAACCTACGTTAGTAGAGTACTAATTTTATAGATTCTTTTTTTATTTAGAAAGTACTTAATAGTAGTACGTAGCTTATTCTACTTAAGTCTACTTTTAAACTTAAGAAGATAGATAAACTTAAAAGCTATTAGCTTTATAAAAGCTAGCTTATAATTAATTAGTATATATAAATAGTAGTTTAAAAGCTTAAAGACTTATATAGAGTTATAGTAATACTTATAAAAGTATCTTTTACACTAGATATTATTCTTACTTACTTAGTTAAAGTAAAGTTCTTTACTATAACTAGTAAGCGCGCTTTAGACGTACTTAATATAAAGTATTACTTTTAGTAGATGTAATAGAGAGAAAGTACTAATAGAGAGCTTAGACTACTTTTTTTTCTTCTTTTATTCTTTACATACTACTACGTCTAAGACTTACTTTTTTTTATTCTAAGAAGTAAAAGCCTCTTTAGTAGTAGTAGTAGTAGCGCTCTTATAAGTATAAGTAGCTTAGCTAGTAGCTAAAGCTACTAAGCGCTATTAAACTTATTTTTACTACTTATTAGCTAAAAAATCTATATAAATAGCTATAGTAAGTATCTACTAATAAGTTAAATAGCTTATAAATTAATAAGCTATTAGCTTATAGTTAGACTACTTACTAGAAGTAGTAACTAGTACTATAAGTATCTAAAGTACTTTAGAGATAATTTTATAAGCTACTAAAGCTTTATATAGTAACTAGTAAGTACTTTAAAGTAAGATAGAAGCTTCTAAAGAGTACTTATAGTTAGTATTTTAGTAATTATTAAAGCTAAAAATATTAGTAAGCGCTAGCTTTATTATTATTACGCGCGCTTAGGCGTATATAGCTTTACTTAATTATATAATACTTATATAAGTAGTATATAGCTAAAAGTAAGTAATCTACGCGTAATATAGCTTATCTAAAAAGTATATTATAATAGGTGTTTAAGTACTTATTAAGTTAATTATATACTTTCTCTTTTTTATACTAGTATTTTATATACTTATTTATATATATTATACTACTTTTATTTAATCTTATAAAAGTAGTAATTACAATTCTAATTACCTAAATATATTATTTCTAGCTTAATTTCCTCTATAATAACAATAACAGAATTATTGCGATCTAGATATAGTAACAGGCGAGCGTCGAGATGCGTGATCTGTGTTGAATGCTGGAGACTAGTTGGTCTTGGTATCTGTCTCCTCCGTCTTTGCTTACGCTCGATCGGGAAGCGGTCGAGATATACTGATGTTGGCCTACTTCTTCGTCCGCGTACTCTTGCGGGTACCTTCGACAGGTGGTTTGGCCTCCGAAGCTTTACGTTTCGTACCTTTCTTCGCTACGGGCTTTGCAATTGTTGCTTCGTCACCGCTGCCCTCTTTCGTTACTGCTGGGATCTCTTCTTGTTGTGCTTCGTCTTTCTCCTTCTCATCCTCCTCCGCTTTCGTGTCAGCTTGCACATCCGCGTCTTTTCCCTTATGCTCCCCTGTCTCATCTTCCTGCACACTAACATCCACACCTTCTTTTCCGAGTACCCAAGCTACTCTCTCAACGTCAATCGCCCTCGCCAAAGGGTCCCTCTGCCCGAAACCTCTTCGCAATCTCGTCCTTAACTCCTGCACGCGATCGAGCATCATCTCATACTCCTTCACGTTATACTTGATCTTCCTCTGCCAGCCCTTTCCATCTTTTCCGCTCCCCGTTTCATCATCCCAGACAGACCATCGAAATAGTTCATCAGAGAAGAAGGGTATCTCTGCAGGTCGGAGAACAGAAAGAAGCAAGGATGCGGTTGCTGGACCCACGCCCTTCAGTCCCACAAGTATCTTGAGCGCGGGAATGGCATCAGGATGAGATGATTTGCTCTTCCAGAGCGCAGCGTATGCCCTTTTGGTTGTTTTCTCAACTGCCTCTGGCGTGTTACTTTGGACCAGGCCTAGTAAGGCTGGACGAAACGTGCCGTGCTTCCTGTCTCGCCATTAGTTCAAAAACCGCATGTGTAATCTCGATTCAAGTGTTACCACATACAGCTTCCATTCCACAAGCGTCACGACTTGCTCCTTTGTCAAGTGTTTCTCGCTTTCGTCTTGTGCAGCTACGGCTTTGCGAATGATGTCATAGCGTTGCGCGTCCAAGTCGCGTAGCTTCTCGGGCACCATTGCAGGGTAACGCGACAAGACATCCTTGAACGCACCCAGAGTTATGGTTTTGATGTGGAGTGGCGGCATTGTGGGTGTTGTTGATGGGACTGTGATTGCGAGGCAGGGTGGGTTTGGCGTGGAAGTGGGAAGACGCGACAATAAGCCCGGCGCGAGATCACGTGCACATGACATTGGCTGAGTCGCCCTCACATCCCTTCCGCAGAAGATGGCTCTTTTGTATGACCGGTACGATTTATGCATTCGTTCTGAAAGATTCTACCGTGCCTTAGTACGCACTGCAGCTACTATACATGTTGTAACCTCAAGTATCGAATTCGACGCTTCATCTATGACCATGGACGGTAATGCACCGGGACGCCTGCCTCAGCATTTCTGAGGAGATGCCACACGAATATCCACCACGCCTTGCTAAGAAACAATGGTATATGAGCAAACAAACAAACATCCCTATGTAAATGCAAGCTCCTTGCGCCTGGCTAATCGACGTTTCACGCAGTCTTCCTTGGACGTCCACGGCCACGCTTCCCAGAACTCGAACCGCGAGTTGGTACCATAGCAGGGCGACCTGGTGGTCTGCCAACAGGTTTCTTCGGAGCTGGTGCGCTCGCAGGAATTTCATCATCACTCTCCGAATCCGACACATTAATAGCCTGAGGCTTCCTATTAACAGCGGAGAACTTGGACGCTGGTGCAGTAACAGTCGTCGTGGTAGTGACCTTGCTTGGCCCGTTACCGTTCCGCTTGGAGGCCGCAACAATCTTGATCTTCTTCCCGTTCAACCCACTCAAGATGGAGTTTGTAGTTGGCGGTGGTCCTGTGCGGACAGGCTCCGGTGTTTTGTCCTCAGATCGTGTGTCATCTTCGAATGGCTCCTCATCAGCGGGTAGATCACCGAGGAATGTGTCCATTAGCTGGTCATCATCCGAATCGGGGAAGAGCGCCATCTTCGCTCGCAGATTCTCCTCGGCTTCTCTGGCTTCAGCTTCTGCACGAGCTTTTGCCTCCTCCTCCCGACGTTGGGCTTCCAGGGCAGCGGCAGCGGCTTGTTGTGCGAGAATGAAAGCTTCACTGGACTGGTCGTCCTCTTCGTGAAGACCATCTTGATCAGAGGCATGCCCGGAGACATCACCAGCGTTGTTGGGTTCCGGATCTTCGGATGGTGGTCCTGTAGGTCTGATTCCAGCTTTTGGTTTTGCTGGCATAGATTTTCGGCGCTCATTGTACACGCGGCTTCGCTCTCGGTCTTTCTCCCGGTTGGGCCTTACAGCTCCATCCCTAAAGTCGGACGGCAGCTCGGTGGGCAGGTCTTCTTCACCTTCATTCCTTCGCGCCAACCAGTTCGACGCGCGCCCACGCGGGCGACCGGTGTGTTCGGGCTCTTCTTCCTCGCCACCAAACTCCTCATCAGAATCGAGCGTGATCTCTTCAAATCGTTTGGAGCCACGAGGCCTGCCTGGTTTCGCAGCGCCGCTGATTTCTGGATTGCGCTTGCGCGTTGAGTATGCCTCATCCTCTTCTACTCGGATCCGATATGTCTTCGCGTCCTTCTCTTTCTCAGCCACGCTCTTGAGAGTGTTTGGCTTCGGTACAACATCGGACTGTAGAATGGACCGCATGTCGCCAGACGCTTCGATTTCTTCAGGAGTGCCTTGTCGCAGGACTGGTGCGCGCTCGGGGACGGGTCTTTGCCGGATTCGGTCAAGATGGCCAGTGGCCAGAGATAACTTTACCACCTTGGATTTACCCTTCATCTTCGCGGCAACCATGATGAATCTGTCCTCGCGTTTGGCATCCTCGAGCAGCTTCCTCTGTACCTCCTTTTGATATTCCTTGCCAGATGCATTCTTCGGTTGCAGGGGTTGTGCTTCGTCGTCCTTCTTCTTCTTCTGCTTCTTTGCCTTGGCCTTCTTCCGCCGGTTGCCCTGTACATCCTCGTCTTCTTCGCGACCACGCTTCTGACCCAGACGCGGAATCTCCCCATCCATGCCGGGATCATGATAGTATGGAGCACCATTTGCCCCTGCGTCACCAATGTCGTGAACGACGCCGTTGGCGTCCTCAACGGGAGAGTAGGTAATACCGTATCGGGTGTAGCCGTGGTTGTCATCTTCAATGAATCGCGCATCAAGGGAAGGATCCGCCATTTTATCCATCTCCGCTTGCAGCATTCTGCGTTGCATTGCACTCTGGCCCATACCCTCCTCTTCCCGCAACCAGTTCAGATTAGACACACTGAAATCGACGAGACACTCTACTGAGCGTATATCGGCCACTTTCTTGGTGTCGTGGCCGAGCAAGGTTCCTTTGGGCTCGTATGGATGTTGTCGGGGGTCACGTCGACAAGCGCCAGTATTGCAAACTCGTCTGCAGTGTGGACACTTCCAGTTGTAAGCCTCCATGACGTTTACCGGCATCATGTCGTGTGCTCGAAACAGAGTACCGTAACAGTATGATAGGTCACAGCTCGTGCAGAATGCCATCTTCCATTTCGGGTGGCGATGAAGACAGAAATGGCACGACTTGTGCTTTGAAAGGTACTGCTTCGACTTCTTGTTCGCAACCTTCTTGACGTTGCCGTATTCATCGACGACAGGCTCCTCATCGTCGGAGACGCTCTCAGGTTGCGGGTTCTTGATATCGACGAAGGGTCGGACTCGAAGTTGCTCTTGACAGACTGTGGCCAGAGTCTTCTTGCCAAGATATCGTCGCTCTTCTTGCAGTGGAAGCGGAGTCTTCTCATGTACGAAGCCATCGATGTCGATAATCTGAGCGCGCCACTCTTCGTACTTGTGAAGGAGGTCCTTCCACTTCCACTGTTCGACCCATGTGTATCCTGATTGACAACCACAGCTTCGTCCCATGCAATAGCAGTCCATGCAAACGTCGTATGGTTCTTCGATCTCCGAACTGAACAAGTTTTTGCAAGTCTTGCAGCTAAGGAAGCGATTGAAGATGTTGCATCTGCAATAGGCACAAGTTACGTTGCTGTCGTAGGGAAGAAACTCTGGGTGTTCTCGTGAGTCCGGTGCAAACGCCTCTGACAGCAGAATGGCCTTATACAGATCGAAGAGCTTCTTGAAATCTTTCTGGACTTGCTTTATTTTGACTGACGTTTGAATTGCGACTGCCTGTTCGCCACCCGCTTCGACTTGAGCGCGCGCGGACTTGATGAGGCTGGAGTATTTCTGAAGGGTGTAATAGACGATGGCCTTGTTCTTGTATTGCTCGTCTCTGCAGACGACTCGCGAGTTGGGCAATGCCTCGTTCAACGCAAGTTCCAGCGTTTCGACAGTCGTCCGGTTCCAAGCAATCTTCATGGTTCGCGTGCCGCGATTCCACACTTGGTGAGGAGCCAGAGGTGGGATGAGTATAAAGTCGCCCGCCCGTTGCTCCACAACATAAGTCTGGAATGGGGCCTTTTTCCAAGCGATGAGCTGCGCGAAATGGTTTTCCACTTCTATGTCGTGGCCTAGTACCGAAAGCCAGTATTCCGAGACAACGTGACGGTCCTTGCTCTCTGTCATGAACCATATGGACGACCCAGGACGCTCCTGCTTACCGTCTTCGCTGATGTTGCCTGATGCGTTGACCATGATGTTCTGACCAAGTGAAGCGCACATCTCTCGATGGGACGGGGTGTAGGTGCCTTCGTGACCAATATAGCACATGAGGTTTTCCGCGCGCATCTCAGGTGGCAGGCTGCTCATGAGATCCCCGGCGCGTCCGATTCCGCGTCCTTTGCGACCACCAGGCTCGTCCAATGCGCCAGGGCCGCCAGGCTCACCCGTGCTCTCGTTGAGGTAGAACAGAACCGAGGGAATGTGCTCCTTCAGTTTATCATGCCACACTTGAGGACAGTCGATATCCTTGAGGTAGATGCGCTGCCTCGCCTTATCGCGGTATGCGTCGTCGGGGCCGTCGAAGAATTGCTCGGTCAGCTTCGTCATATGCTTTAGGTAATGCTTCATGGTCAGAGGTATGTTCTCCTTGGTCGAGAGATTGCGCGCATTCTCGACTATCTCACTGTTAGCTATGCGCGCCGAGTATTGCCCTAGATTGCGCTCACCTTTATCGCCATGATTGTCGCGCAGCCACGAGGGTGTAAAGGTCCAGGGATCCAGAACCTCCTCGAAGCCGTCGATTACCAGAGGCTTGCCGCCTATTATGACGTGCAGCATGACCAGCTTCTCAAAGGCTTCGATGCCATTGTTGGCGATCATCTCGTAGGAAATGCGGTCGACATATTGGAAATTGTCCGCGGTTTCCACAAAGGTGCGCACATCGAAATCGGGCGGTATGGGCTCAAATGAGGCCCGGGGGCGCGCGGCCGGCATCGTCGTCACCCACGACTAACATTCAGAAGTCGCGTTCTCGGTGTGGGGTTACAGGAGCGTGAAGCACCTCCGCGGCGTTGTCGCAGTTGCGAATAGACGGGGGCGCAGCGGGTAGGCGTGGGCGCGTGGTCGTGGTCGCTGGCGGAGCGAGTGCTGCAAAAAGTATGAGTTGTAGTTGATTTGGCGGCGGCGAGGTGAGCTTTCGGGATGTGGACGCGACCGAGGAAACGGCGTTCTGACCAGTCACGTGTCGTCGAGAGTTAGCGCGAACCCATGGTTCAGCTTTCACGTTCCCCACTCACTCACCGTCCCGATTCGGCGCTGGACGGCAGTGACCAAAGTGCCTTTCCCAATTGGTGTTCTAGCCACTCACATCGTCTTCGACATGTTCAGCGTAGCACGTTGAAAGCGAGACCCTGCCTACCAGCCCAGCAAACAAAAGACGCAGCACGCATGCCTTTACATGTGAAATTGCAAGCACTCCTGACCGTCTAAACATCTGAAAGCCGAGTATGGCTCTCTTACGACTTTATGCAGCGCGGGCTGCGCCGGTGTGTCGGCAACACACCCGGGATCATTCCACATTCCAGTTTGCCTGCAGACGAAGGCAGATGTCAACACCTCTGTCACTTGCGAGCTATCGTCCGCAAACTACTCAGCTCATCAAATCAATACGACGAAACTCGACAAACTTGCAGCCAGGAATAGTGGCATCGACAGCGCTACAAGATG